GGGGGGGGGGGGGGGGGGGGGGGGGTCCATAGAAATATATACAGAAAAAAGTATATAAAATTAAAAACAAATAAATAATAGTTAAAAAAAATGTAATAAATGCAATAAGAAAAAGATGAGAAAATAAGTAAATAAACATTGGATTAAAACAAATCATGAATAAGCAAATAAAATGAGTATATATATATTAAAAATGAGTAAATAAGTACAGTACTATAAAAGGGAAAAAAATAATGTAACCTAATATAAATGGACAATTTTTCAGTGTAAATTGGGTAAAATAGGCATTTTAAATTGTTGGTTTGGGATCTCATGCTCACAGATGATCATATTTGGGGGTCTGTGGCATTTAATATTATAAACCCGATATATTGGATCTCATAGATTCGTTCTTGCATTTGTTTGTCTTTACAGGTAAAAGATCCACTGGGAATTAGACTTTAGTGGAGATTCAGATTGACTGTAAACCTGATGGACATACAAGAGAAGAGAAGCGAGTCTTCTGTGGACACGTGCAGCATGGAGATCATCCTGACCGCTCCTCAGAAACTACAACCGATGAATGAAGATCTGTGGCTGCATTACTGACTCCAGATCCCTGAGGAATATGACCTCAGCGCCAACATCAACCATAGATCTAGTCTTTGGTCTGTAGTTTTTCGTTAAGGTTTTACATAGTCAGTTCTTTAATTTTCTGTTGTTCTGGAGCGATTCACAAACAGATGGGAAATCTTTACTTCGGTAACAATGTCATTTCAGAATAATGAAGTCCAATGTTCAAGACCTCACTGAACATTACGTCCTTCTGCTTGATTAGCAGTGTACATAGACAGCTGTTAATATTAAAGCCATTTTAACGGGTTGTTGTAGAGAAATATGCAGTAATTAATAAAATCTTTGTGACAACTTTAAATGACTTTTTTGTTGTTGAATATGCTGAATATATGTCGTGTATTTTAACCTTCTGATGCATTATTCACAGAAAAGAAACTCTTATTACTTTAAAGCAATGCTACAAAATTTGTTAAATATGAAACACAAACTGGTAAATGCTGCTAGTACTTCACTGGGGGGAAAACAAAGAAACAAACTACAGTGTCTTTTAAAATATAATTTTACACTTAGTATAAGTTTAAACAAATGACCGGTTTAAACTTTATAGCATTTTTAACATTTACAATTACTAACCATTATCATTCTCGATCCTTTTGTCCCTAAATTAAGGGTTTAACAATGATTCAAATAAAACCTGGACAAACACTGAATGCAGCACAGTTGTGAATTTATTACTCATTACATCGAACACCGAGCTGGACGTGAAAAAAATGCCCAAAAGCCCTTTTCTAAACCTTAAAATACAGTATTGAGAAAATGATTAACTACACAGGAAATGCATTCATTGGAACACCATTCCTTTCAATGTGCTTTAAAAAAACAAAGCTGTAAGTGACTCAAAATACAAAATGTGCGTAAAACCCAAACACAACCGGTTATGCCAAATACTTTCATACATGGCAGTCTATTTTATGATCTGATTAGTAATGCAAAGTAACAATTCCTTTGGTTCAAAAAGTCCCAAGTCCAAGGATTTGGTATTACATGAAACCCTCTTCAAGAACAGTATTCATCAGTATAATGATGGGCTTGTGTTAGTTCTTATATAAAACTAAATCACATATGCCTCTCCGAGAGAAATACTGTTAGTTAAACACATGCCTCAGTAAATGAGGACGGATACACAATCCTTTTCAAACGCATCATGTCACAGTGCCTTGGTGAACATTGCACATGTTAGTGTATTAATATGTAACAACAAAGGGAACGAAACCGTTAATAAGTCTCCTTTTCATGAAATTATTGCATCCATAAATGTTAATGCTAACACTTTACATTAGTCAATGTACATGAACGAACAATGAACAATCCATTACAGTATTTATTCATCTTCGTTAATGTTATTAATGAAAATACAGTTGTTCATTGTTAGTTCGTGTTATTCACAGTGCATTAACTAATGTTAACAAGCACAACTTTTGATTTTAATAATGCTAATAAATGCGCTTTATTGTTCATGCTTAGTTCATGTTAACTATTATAAAACGGAGAGTTCCGGTCCTTGATTCTGATTGGTTGAGCTGCGTTCGAAGCTGTTGTAAATTACTCTACAAACA